AGAGAGAGGGGGAGAGAGAGAATGAAAAGAAAGAAAGAAAAAAGGAAGAGGGGAGAGGAAAGGAGTGAGGGAGAGAGGGAAGGAAGACGTGAAGAGAAAGTGGGAAGAGGAATTTAAATTGTATATGATTAAGATCCATTATGTGCACAAATGAGGGAGTCTAAAAATTAGAAGTACATCACCGTAATTGCATATAATTATATCATTATAATTAATTATAATCACCGATAGAGATGATCCTGCCCTGGAGAGATAGATGTTTTTGCAGAGGACCAGAGTTCGGCACCAATGTCAAGCTGTTCACAATCTCCTTTAACTCCAGCTCCAGGGAAGATGATGTCCTCCTTCTTTTAGCATCCAAGGCCACCTGCACACTCATGCACATATCCACACACTGGCACACACACTGTACACAAAGCAAGATCATTTGGAAAACCCTGGGTAACCAAACTGCTGGAAACCAAAAATCAAGAAGAAAATCTCAAAATTAGATAAAACATTATGTAAAACCAAAATCACTAGACTTCTCATTGGAACCCACAAAATGTCTAAACAGTTTAAACAAATTTGTTTAAAATACTGAAAGAAAATAACTATCCACTCACAGTAATATATTCAATGTAAGTATTCTTCAAGAATAATGGCATAATACATTCTCAGATGAAGTAAAGCTAAGATTCTTTTTAAAAAATAAATGTACACTTAGCAAGACAAGGGGGCTGCCTGCCTACCCCTCCCCTAAGTGGCACAGTCACACAAACTCAGCCATAGGCTCCACAGGGAGAACCCCAAACCCAACCACATGATTGTGCACATATTTGTGATCCTTGTGTCTCCCACCTGTGAACAAGGAGCAGGGTGAGCTGCCATGGCTAAACCATTGGATTGTGGTGCAGGTGGAACTTCTGGCTAGGCTTCTTGGAGAAGTTCTGAGAGGTGAGTTTAGTTCTTTTTATTAATGCAACTGTCAAGTGCCGATCTGCTAGCTCAGGACTCAAGAGCAGCTCAGCTAATTGGGCTCTGGTCCAGTGTCCTTCACAGTCACTGAAGTCACTCAAACTGCTGGCTGTCTGCTGTTACTCCACTTGGACCATGGAATCCCCACTCCCAGACAGAAAAACAAAAATTAAAGAACAAAAATAAATGTATAGTGTTCTACCTACATGTATGCCTGCATGCCAGAAAAGGGCACCAGATCTCATTATAGATAGTTGTGAGCCCCATGTGGTTGCTGGGAATTAAACTCAGGATCTCTGGAAGAGCAGCCCGTGCTCTTAACCTTTTAGCCATTTCTCCAGCTCCCAGATTCTTTATTATTGTTGTTGTTGTTATTATTATTATTATTATTTTCTTTTACATCCAGACCACAGTTTCCCTTCCCTCCTCTCCTTCCAGCCCCTCCCCCCACCACTCTCCTACACTCCCCCTCCCCCATCTACTCCTCTGTTTCTCTTCAGAAAAGACCAGGCCTCCCATGGATACCAACCAAATTTAGCACATCAAGTTGCAGTAAAACTAGGCACCTCCCCTCGTTATTAAGGGTCTCAAAGGCTGGCAAGAGTGAATGACAACCCCTGCTCCCACTGTTAGGAGTCCTACAGCTATACAACTGTAGCATACACAGAGAGCCTAGGTCAGTCCCATGCAGGCTCCCTGGTTGACAGTTCAGCCACTGTGAGCTGCTATGAGCTCAAGCTAGCTAACAGATTCTATAGCGGAAGGAAGTTTTTCAGCATGAGAAATGATACCAGAATCATTGGAGCTTCAAAAATGAAGAACAAAAGTAATAGTAAAACTTGGTGAACATATTAACTACTCCTATCCTTTTGTTTGTCTCTGGTGGTGGTGGTGGTGGTGGTGGTGTGTGTGTGTGTGTGTGTGTGTGTGCGCGTGCGCGTGTGTTTGGAGGGAGCTTTAAGACAAGGTTTCTCTATGTAGCCCCAGCTGTCCTGTAACTCACTATGTAGGTCAGGCTGGCCTCCAACTCACAGAGTTCCACCTGCCAATGCCTCTGCCTCTACCTCCTGAAGGCTGGGAATACAGGCATGCACCATCACTGCACAGCTTTTTTATTTTATTTTGTTTTTTAAACACACAACTTTAAAGCAAAAATGTTAACTTTTTCTGGTGAGGCTTTTTTTGTTTTTTGTTTGTTTGTTTGTTTGTTTGTTTTTTGACACCTGTTTATTTATTTATTTATTACATTCCCAATCCCAGTTCCCCTTCCTCCTCTTGCTTTCCCCACTCCCTCCCCCACTCCCCATCCCACCTGCTCCTCAGAGAGGATGAGCCCTCCCCTAGGAAGTCTACTAAATCTGTTTCATCATCCCCTTGAGGTGGTACCAAAGCACCTCTCCAAACCCCACACCCATGTGTCTAGGCTGGGCAAGGTATCTCTCCATATAGAATGGGCTCTGCTGTGTCAGTTTGTGCATTAGAGTTAGGTCTTGAACCCACTGCCAGTGACCTTATATATTGCCCCAACTGCACCATTGTCACCTATATTTAGGGAGTCTAGTTCAGTCTTATGTAGGTTCCTCATTTGTCAGGCCTGAGTCAGTGATCTCTCACTAGCTCAAATCAGCTGATTCTGTGGGTTTCCCCATCATGGTCTTGATTCCTTTGTTCTTATTATCACTCCTCCCTCACTTTGATTGTACTCCAGGAGCTCCATGCCCCATGGTTGTGAATTTCTGCATCTGCTTCCATCCGTTTCTGTAAGAGGGTTCTAGCTTCTCAGGGGTTGTGGATTGTAGGTTGGGTATCTTTTGCTTTATGGCTGGTATCAACTTATGAGTGAGTAAATACTATATTGTCTTTCTGGGTCTGGGTTACCTCAGTCAAGATATTCTCTTCTAGTTTTGTCAATTTGCCTTCGAATTTTAGGATGGCATTGTTTCTTACCACTGAGTAGCACTCCCTTGTATAAATGTGTCACATTTTCTTTATCCATTCTTCAGTTGAGGAGCAGCTAGGCTGTTTCCAAGTTCTGGCTATTATGAATAATGTTGCTATGAGCAAATGTCCTTGTGGTGTGAATGTGCCTCCTTTGGTTATATCCTCAAAAGTGGTATTGCAGTATCTTGAGGTAGGCTCATTCTCTGGTGAGGTTTCACTGTACATAATTATAATGCATATGGTTATAGTGTGAATATGCACTTAACAAAAGAGGGCAGAAAATCCAGGCAGTGATGGCACATACTATTAATCCCAGCACTTGGGAGGCAGAGGCAGAGTTTGAGGCCAGCCTGGTCTACAGACCAAGTGGCAGTATAGGCTCCAAAGCTACACAGAGAAACCCTGTTTAAAAAAAAAAAAAAAAAAAAAAAAAAAAAAGGAAGGAAGGCAGCTCAGTCAACCCACATTTTAAAAAACAGGGGTCAGGCCCGGAGATGTAATGGGTAAAGATAAATGAAGTAAGTTCTTGATTAAGCATCTTGAACAGCCCTTTGACAGGAACCTGAGTCCTCTTCAACAGTGCATGCAGCCTAAGCATAGACAAGAGTAAAACAGTGAGAGAAGGTAGCATCTGCCAAGCCAGCCAGACTCTGACATACTTATTTCTGCAAATAGACATGTGACCAGGATGTATAAATGATTAAACAACAAACTGCACTATAGGAGATATCCAAGGGAATGGCATTCCTTGGGACACATAACTAAGTCCCTGTTATCATTAATGAACACTGTGACCTCTGGGGTGAGGTACACATGAAACCCTTCTATAGAAGTCTAAGGTTGGCACTTAGTGACAAGGCAGGACTTAGAGAAATCAACCTCAATTCACCAGGAACTCTCTGCTAGATAACTTGCATAGTACCAGAAGGTACTTGCATGGTGCTAGGGGGAAAAGGTAGCAATGGCTCTACCAGCTTCGGACTCCGCCTTTACTCATCTGCCTGGCAAGATGGGACCACAGTGCCACAGCAGCAAAACTGTTACTAAGGGTAGTCAACTGCTGTTTTGATTGGGTCTGAGGTCAGCACCACCAAAGGGGATTCATGCCTGGTACTATAAACCTGGTCAAGAACCCATAACCAAGGAGATCACAGACCTCAGTGGAGGAATTTACTATCGTTTCACTAAATGATCATGCTGTTCATGTTTGTGCCCATAGATGTGTGCACTCAGAAACGCTGACCAGAGAAGCTTCTTTTGCAGTGAGAAGTGGCTAATGTGGAGACTAAAGTGGTCAAAGTAACTGTGAGTGCTCAGCTATAGGTTAGGCTAGCTATATCAACCCCCCCCCCTTTCCAAGACTCGGGGAACATTACTGACGAGAAGGTAGAAAGATTTTAATCGATAGCAGATAGGGAGAAGTGTGACTTGTTGACTTCATGACATGGCTGTTGCACACACCAACTCAGAGCAACTGCCGTTATCTGAACAAGACCTGCATGAGATCAGTGACTCTGGATTCCTGTGGATCATCTAATGAATGAGGGAGGAGATTCTGAGGATCACCCTTGGAGTAGGAGTGGCTCCTGAGGGAGGAAGAGTCATTATCCCTTGGGGATACACCCATTTTCCAGTAGAAAGCCTCACATGTGGGTAGCATTAATTGGACTCAAGGGGTTATTAGTAACAAAACAAAGGAGGACATAAGGTTGGGAGAGATGTGGGGTAGGATGAGGAACTAGAGAAAGGTAGTCATAGATGGATCTGATCAAAATACATTGTATAAATGCATGAAATTTTCAAAGACTAAATAAAATGTATTTTAAAAGTTTAGACTTGGGGAGGGGATAAAATGTACCATCATGAATCATCTTGCATACTCAGCTCTTAGAAAGTATTTATTATAATATAGTTATTACAGATGGGAAAAACAGGAAGTTTCTGAAACGACACAGAGCTGGGTCAGCAAACTCAGCATCCAGCAAGAAGTTGGCTCACATTCCCAGTCCCTATAGCAAACCGATTCTAGGCTAAGAATTACTCTGACATGGTCACTTCTATTAGAGCTGAGTTCGAGGAATACTCAGGGATGGGAGAAAGGGGGAGCAGGAAGGAAATAATTAGTCCACATGAATTCAAGAAAGGTTTGAAAGCACTCAATTTTTTTCCTCAGAGGTACAACTATACATACTCTAAACCACTCCAAATGAACGTTCCTCAGAAAATATAGGTTCAAACTTTGAGTTCTACACTAGTAGTCGTGACCCCTGAAGGAACTTATTCAGGGGCCACACGTTGCTCTCGCCCACGTTGGAGGTGCGCCTCTGGCACTGCCTGCAGCGACGGTACTTCTCACACTGGTCCAAGAGGAACAGCTTGTCAGAAGCCCTGGGGAGGAGAAAGCAAAAGCTGATCTGCCAGGGCTCCTCCAGGTTCCTCGAAGCAGAGAGAAGAAAAGGGAAACCCGAAAGGACCCACGTTTTATTTCCAGCACCCATTTGGTAACCCACAATCATCTATAACTCCAGCTCCAGGGACCGCAGCACTCTCTCCTGATCTCCAATGGGCACCAGGCACACACATACTACACACAGACACATGCAAGCAAAACACCCATACACATAAAATAAACATACATTTTTAAGTTGTGGTTTCAACACAAAGGGAAGACTTACCTTAACGTCTTGAACCACCATAACAACATGTGGCCAAAAAGAATAAAAAAGTTGACAACTTGTGAGACATTATTGAGTTCTGGGTACTCTGTTTAGGATGTCTTTTACTCTTAATCTCTTTCAGTGTTCACAAAAATCCCATGATTTCAGTCCTTGCATTATTCTCTTATAGTCTCCATAATGATGGAGACTTGGCAATAGTTAAAACTTTTCAAATCAACTAACCAAGCAGTGTTGAAATGCTCTTCAGCTGCAACCTTAGCCACTGCAGAATAGTATTCCTCCTAGTCGAAACCACGAATAACGATTGTAAACAGGTACCTAAAAGATCGATGTTCTATTATTCTGACAATGGGTGTACACTTTTTATAACTTGTGTGTGATGCCATAACACTGTTTCTCAGAGATTTAATACCCAAATATATCTCATTTACTGGTGTCAAGGGCTCTGTGTTTGCCTCAAGGCTTAGTAATGAATTGGCTGACTTAAGGTCTTATGATTTCTAGTTAAGACTAAAAAGAAAGGGAGGGAGGGAGGAAGGGGAAGGGAGAGAGGGAAACAGGCAAGCAGCAGGAAGAAGGAAGGAAGAAGGGAAGGAAGGAAGGAAGGAAGGAAGGAAGGAAGGAAGGAAGGAAGGAAGGAAGGGAGATACATGATCTCTGCTTTCAAGGCTTCTTTTACAGTCCACCTGTTCTCATCCCACATCCTAGCAGTCTACTGTCTCCTCCTTTCCACCAAATCAAAGGCTATGTGCAAATTCCCACAGTTTGTCCCTTCCTTCATGCCTAGCCACACATGCCTAACACTAAACACATAAAGTCCAAAGTCACCCCACCATCTAAGGTGGCCCCTGGAACACATTTGCTAACGAACTCATAAATTTCCTGTGACCTCTCTACTCACTGCCATCATGTTAGCCAGGCACTCTCTCTGAATCCAATCAAAATCTTGCTGGCATAAGCCTCACTGCTTCTCACTGTTTCTCCACAAGATTGAACAGTTTGAGCTCTCCCACTCCCACACTTTTCTTCTTCTCTGAATCAGTCTCATTTCTGTGGCCCCTGATCACCATGTTAGCCCCTCACACTTCCTTGCTTACAAATGAGCTCCAACATTAGGACATCAGATGAGAAGTGCCTTTGAAGAGACTCTAAAAGAAACTATAGCAGATGAAGAGCCATGCTGGAAATAAAAACAATAATGATGGGGCTGCACAGACAGCTCGGTGGTTAAGAGCACCGGCTGCTCTTCCACAGGACCCAAGTTTGATTCCCAGCACCCTCATGTCCAGGAAATTCTACACCCTTCTTCTTCTGGCCTCCTTGAGAACCAGGCACGCAAGTGGTGCACAGACATATATGGAGTTTGATTCCCAGAACCAAAAGTGACTCACAGTTGCCTGTAACTCCAACTCCAGGGGTTCTGACACCCTCTTCTGGGTTCACATGTATACACACACACACACACCAGTAAAAAAATAAAATATTATAGTGGAAAAGTAACCATTTAACCTGTTTTCTGTTGGTTTTGGTCCTGATAATCTGATTGTAAAGGTTTGATTGGTTTCATTGGAATCTTAACATTTTATGAAATCTTTTCTTCATTTTATAAAATCTTACCTTAAATTTCTTTTTTCAAGACAGGGTTTCCCTGTATTGCTTTGTAGCCAGTCCTGGAACTCACTCTGTAGACCAGACTGGCCTCGAACTCACAGAGACCTACCTGCCTCTGCCTCCTGAGTGCTGGGATCAAAGGCATGCACCACCAACACCCAGCCTCTTACCTTAAATTTCTAAAGGGTTTCTATTGTTTTCAAAGTATAATGATTTCCCATCTTATTTTTAACCCCAAAAACTCCTGTGCTAGCTTGGCCAGGCAATCATTTACTTTCATAGTTTACAAATTAAAAAAGATGGCGAACATTAGCAGCCTTTCCAAAGTTCATGTTAATTATGAAACGGCAGATTCAAACTGGAAATACACAACTGGAGAGGGGCCTGGTTCCACTGTGTGTAGCTCATTTTTCCTACTGTCAGTCTTCTCTTGGCTCTGTTCTTAAACCCATCCATAAAGGCCAGATCAGGCATGGTGTGCACACCATTAATCCAAGCACTCAGGAGGCAGAGAAGATGAATCTCAAGGAGTTTGAGATCAGTCTGGTCTGTATAGCAAGTTCTAGTCCAGCTAGGGCTACATAGGAATACTATCTCAAAAAAAAAAAAAAAGTGTTCAGAGCAGAACTCATCCTGCTTCAAAGTAGCTCTATCCAAAGAGAGTTGCAACCCTGAGCAAATGGAACCACCAAGGCAGAAGCAATGATCAGGGCAGAGTCAATGAAAACTTCACATAAAACACAGCGATTCCCAGCTACTTGCTCATAAAAGCTGTTGCTAATCAATTGCAGCAGCATTTCTCACTAAGCAGATTTGTTCTTCCTGCAGAATTCCTATTAACCAACTGGTGGCACTCAAACTCTCCACCACCCTAGTGTTAGATTTATAGTGGTTCTTTATCTGGGGGGGGGGGGAGTGGCATAGCATACATTCTGCATGTCAGATATTTACACCATGATTCACAACAGCAGCAAAATTACAGTTATGAAGTAGCAATGAGATAATCTTATGGTTGGGGGTCACCACAACATGAGGAACAGTATTAAAGGATCACAGCATTAGGAAGGTTGAGAACCACTGAGTTAAAGGGAGGAAAGCACAGAGCTGGTTTACAAGGAAGTTTCTTGCAAGCTAAGAGCGCCTGGTTCCCATTAGGTCTCACCGCTCAAAGGCTTTCTCCTCCAGGTCCCGCTGCCTCTTCATTGAAAGGCTCCTGTCCCAGTCCTCCTGCAAGCACTGGTTGATTCTGTTCACCCGATCCAGTTCAGAAGCTCTGTCTGCCAAGTGCCTGGAGAGGAAAGAACAGCCTGACTCCATTCACAATGCTGGGAAGGGCCTGAGACCACCCTAGGAGCACTAATTCTGGTTCTGTCTGGGCGTCTTTAGAATATGCAGAAGACATGGGGGCTTTGAAGGCACAGCAAAATTGCTGTCTGTCAGACAATGAATGGTTCTCAGATCTTTCAGCTCGCACTCTGGTTCAAATTAACAGGACTTAAGTCTTATTCCAATTAATGACTTCAGCTTCCAAAGCCATTGGTGTCCTTTGAAGCTAATTTGACTCATCTGAAGAATCATCCCAAATGGACTCCCTAAACTGTGTGTTTCTTCCAAGTTTCTAAGCTGTCAGCAATCAACCTTCACATGGCTACAGGCTTCTGGTTCTTTGAGGGTTTTTTATTTCCCCCTTTTTAGAGAAGGTCTCTGTGTAGTTCTGGGTGGCCTTGAACTCTAGACCCTCCTGCCTCAGCCTCCAGGGTGCTAGGAGTACATGAGTACACTTCAAGGCTACAGGCATTTTATGAGACAAAGTGGAGAGATACAAATGAGAGTGCAGAAAGGAGAAGGGGGAGAGAAATGACTTATGAGAGAGAGAAAGGAAGCAGAATTATCCAGCGCTGACAGGAATGCTTGACGACTGGGGTATCACCCAGGAATGGAACGAAGGTCAGAGCCTCACTCTTGGTGGTGTTTCCACCGCCTGTCTCCATACAAGCCATCTCTCCTGTTACAAAGCATCGTTAAATTTGGTTCACATTACTTATTATGAATCTATTTTTGCCAAAATAAAGCTTTTGCCTCAGACTTCTCTCACAGACATGTGACAGTGACATCCGCCACTAGGTGTCAGGGCCCTCTGACAAAAATCAGTACTGTCTTCAACTGGGTCACTTTCCTAAAACCATCATTAACCTAATTTCTCTTACATGGCTATCGTGAATATTAGATAATAAAATATATCCAACATGCCATACCCATCACAGAATGGAACTCTTTAACAAGTATCTATTTTTCTCATGGGTTTTTTTTTTTATCCCCATATGTTTTAATTGAGAGGGAGAGACACAGAACTACTATTACATCCAACATGATGGCTCTCAAAGTCACTACTGACTGAGACAAACCAGGTGAAAATACACACTTACTGTATGGTTCCATTGCATATATAAACCAAAACCCATCAACATGTGCATACACACAGGCCATTATATGTCGATTACATCTCCATAGTTATTTTTTTAACAAATAAAGAAAAAAATCATTAGGAAAGCTATGCCTTCTCTCAGGCTCAACTATGTTTTAACAATCGTTTGATGCTGCCTCTCTCTCACCTCCCACCATCAAAATGTCCACAAAGCCTTTTAGGATGAGTGAGTGGTAATCATTGTCTCTGCAAGCAGCAAACCTGGTGGTTTCTAAATCACAGAATCTATGGAAATTGAAATAGCAAACGTGGGTTTAAAAAAAATGAAATGAGTATATTTCATGCACTCAGACAACCACGGCACAAGATGCAGAGTTAAAGTAATGGAAATGCCTTGTACCACAGGCGTTTGCAGCTACCGCTGCCATGGAGTAGAGCAACATCTTCCTTCACGGGCAGCACTTTGCTGGCTGTGACTTGGTAACCACACCACCACTTCACCACCAGGCACAGATGTTGAGGCCACTGTAGCCTTTCTGAAGCCATTTCTTTGTTTAATTTAATAAATATTTTAACATGGTCTGTTCTGGGTAAAATATTTAGGGTCACTTGTTTTTACATGCTAAAGTCAATAGCCCCATTAGAAGTCAGCCCAAAGGAAGACCTCAAAACAGAGCATCTATCAAAGGGCCAGCAAGATGGATGTCTTGGTTAGGATTTCTGTTGTTGTGATGAAACACCAAGACTAAAAGCAACTTGGGGAAGTAAAAGGGTTTATTTGGCTTACGCTTCCACATTACTGTTTATCATTGAAAAAAAAGACAGGACAGAAACTCAAACAGGACAGGAACCTGATGCAAAGGCCATTGAAGGGCGCTGCTTACTGGCTTGTTCATTATGACTTGCTTAGCTGGCTTTCTTATAGAACCCAGGACCACAAGCCCAGGGATGGCACCACCCACAATGGGACCCTCCCCCATTGATCACTAATTAAGAAAATGTCCCACAGGTTTTCCTACAGCTTGAGATCTTATGGAGGCTTTTTCTTAATTGTGGTTCCCTCCTCTCAGATGACTGTAATTTGTGTCAAGTTGACATAAAACAATCCAGCACTGAGTTAGAGGCAAGCACTATGCTATTTTCAGGAGTCATTTAACCCTGGATCATCAAGAGGTAGAATCTTGTATCAGCTCTATTAAGTGTCCTCAAAAGAAGGAAATCTGCTCTGTATCAATTAATACAGTGACAGAAACATACCAACCAATCAGAATGCATTTGAGAAATGGTCTGGAGGCCCAAGTGAGAGCCAGAGTTCAAGTTCAAAGAAAGGATCATGAGGGGCTAGAAAGATGGGTCATGGGACTGGAGAGATTGCCCAGTGGTTAGGAGCACTGTCTGCTCTTCTAGAGGACACTAGCTCAATTTCCAGTAACCACATGGCAGCTCACAACTGTCCATAACTCCAGTTTCAGAGGATCCAACATCCTCACACAGACATACATGTAAACAAAATGCCAATGCACATAAAATAAAAATAATAGTTTTAAAAATGAAAAAAGGGAGGTTCATGGAAGTCTAGGAAAAAAGAAGGTACTTGTCTGACTTGGGACAACAGTGCCTATTACTGATTATAGAGCTATGTCACAATTTTAGAAATGTGTTACAGATCGATGTGACTCCTTGTTTTGTTTTGTTTTTGTTTTTATTGAAACATGGAAACATGTAATGCAGACCATGATTCTAATAGAATAAATTTCATAATTTAACTACTCCCACACTCTCTCTACCAACAGTCAAACCCACTATTATTGTGTCATCTTCGATCTATCACTTGACTCGTGTCTAGCCAGCCCAGCACAGAATATGATAGACTCATACACTATCCCACTGGGACCATTTCTAATATTTATAAAAATTTAATAATATGACTTTATATGTATAACTACCTTCCAAAAGAGAGTGGATTTCTTGGTTAGAAGATTTTTTGAATGATAATTTTGAATCATCAGAGATATAAGAATTGATGAACATTAGGAATTAGCCAGGGAGCTAAAATTTGTAATAAAGGTGTTCTGGAACAGTGTGTGCTCAGATCTTGGGAATGTGAGCCTTCTCCTCTCATGTATACTGTATGGAAAGGGAGAGACTGAGCAATAAAACAGAGGCAAGGCTACCTGATGTCTCCTTATTAGTCTTTCTTTAGGGTTTCTTCATTCAAATTCTATCCATTTCTTGGATTTCAATTAAGAGGGAAGGTCATAGACATATTCTGTACCAAGGCATGCCAGCTGGTGACCATTGACTCTCTAAAGGGCTGGAGTATATTGTAATGACAACTTGCAGAGTGTAGACTGTTGTTGATATTTCAGGATTTAATTCCCATGATTGTATAATCCAGAAGTGTTGTAAGCATTTTTTCTAGATACTATATGACATAGTCTATAGTGTCTATGGCAGTATGATCTAAAATTGTAGGTGTAAATGAAAAAAGTATGAAAGATTAAAAGTGTATGCTTCTTTGCTGAAAATAAGAAATTTCTTCTCTATTTCCCATTACTCAACTTTAAAACTTTTCCTTGGAATTTTAAAAAAATAAAGTAAATAATAGGATCTGAATGTTCAAGAAATCCTAAACTGAAAAAAAAGAAAAGAATTGATGAACATTTACAAAGAAGGAACTACTTTCCTATGACAATCTGGGTGGAGGTGGGAAGTAGGAAATAGATGATGGAGGGCTAGGAAGGAAGCATGAAGATGCTGTGAGACTGAGAGCCAGTGAGACCTTGAAATTTTTCCCCACCACTTAAGTAACCAACTGGACATTCTAAGAAATCAAGTGTCTGATGTTTGAACTTAGAGATCCAGGCACTGAGACAGAATTCCCTTGCCCATTCTACTACCTTAACCATCACTCCATGGTATGAACAGAATGTCCTGGGAACTGGTGTCAGGTCTTGATCTATATGAGTGTGGCAGCATATTTCTGGCTCATTTAATACAACCTATGGGTGGTGCTGATGTTATGATTCTTTTAAAAAGTTACACTGTTGCCAAGAGTGGTGGTGTACACTTTATGTCCCAGCACTCAGGAGGCAGAAGCTGACAGAGCTGTGAGTTCAAGTACAGTCTGGTCTACAAAGCAAGTTCCAGGACAACCAGGACTACACAAAGAAACCCTGTCTCAAAAAACAGAAGAAGAGAAGGAAGTTATACTGTGATATAAGGGGAAATGTGGAGTTGGGAATTGAAGGGGAAGTGGAGAACGAGTACTTTTTTATTTAATAACATTTTCTTCACTGGACGAACTGTAAGTATAAAACTGCGTGAAATATGCAATGAATTTAGAATAGTGGCTTGCATAACTCCTCAGTATGTTAGCTACATTTCTTCTCTGTTGTTTCAAAGAAAAAGAGTTGGAGGAGAGGAAGGAGAGGAAGGAGAGGAAGGGTGGAAGGGGAGGACAGACCCAGGCTCTCCTTACTCTCTATGTGTCCTCTGAAGCATCTGCAGATCTCGCCGCTGGTCCACCAGCTGGTTCAGGATGGCGTTCCTCTTGAGGTTGGCAGCTGCCTCCATCTGGTGCTTCATGCAACTCTGTTCTCGCTTTCGCTTTTCCGCCTCCATTTCACCCTCATTCTTACCAAAGATGGGCTCAGCAGAATCAGGCTCAAACATGGGCAACTGGGAGGGTTTGTTCTTTACCTGAAATGGGCAGCACATAGTGGACCATTGTTCAGCTTAGTAAAATACCAACACCTAACCTTATGGGAATGAACCTACCTGTGCATCCAAAGCTCTCTTGTAGTACTGTGTTTCTTCCATCTTCTCTTTTAGGTATTGGGCTCTTTGTGCAGCGAGTCTGGTATTTAAGAAGCAGAGAAAGTGAGAGCCATTTTACAGTTTGAATATAGCAACACAAGCTAGCATTATCAAAACATGCTCAATACTAATAGGAATGTGTGCATGATGCATAAAAACTCATCATTCATTCTGGGAGCTCTCATTATAAGAAAAGATAATTCAGGTCTACAGGTTATTGGCACACAGGACAGACAGAACAGAGGGTGGGCCACATCATCCAGATAGGATGAATATGGAAGGTACCCTCCACACCCCACGCACACACACAACTTACTTTTTTTAAATCTAGGTAAAAAGGACATGACTATACTTTCTGTAAACAGATTCAATATATAATTCTTCTTTAAGAAAAGTAATCTACACTATTAAAATTTAGTTACCATATGAAACCTTCCAGAAACCTGTACGATAAATAAAATTAGTATACTGGAGCAGATAAATTTTAGATTAGCATATTCTTTTGGGCACAGAAACTAGCTTATTGTTTATTGTGGCAGTCTCTGCTCAAGCTACACAGTTACTGCCCTGGCTTCTGCAGCAGAAGTGGGAGCCCCAAGGCAAATTTGAATTCCATGGCCCTGGCCCTACCCAAGTCCTTAGACAATCCAACCTGAGCAATAAGATTCTCCTTCCCAAAAAGTCAGAATTGAGACTAATATTCTGAGTCCAACATGGAATAAATGTGGTATCAAGTAAAAAGATATGGATGTAAGCAGAGGGAAAACTGATCCACACTGCTTTTCAGTCCCTGGTTCCAATGTCACCTGTACCTGTGTCGTTGGTTTTGGTGGAACATGCTACATGCTTATAGCAAGACCTCGGCTTTGCCATGAGGTCACTTGAGCATCTCACAGTTGGCAATGATGCCTGCTCAAGATGTGTTCCTTCCTGTATCTACCAGGAAGTATCAGCAATCACACACAGTACAAAATGCTGCTCTATAATTACAGTGCTTTTAGATCCTCAGTCATTGCTGTAACTATGGTAATGATGACTTTCTCTTTTTGATGCAGGTAAGTCTTTGGTACTGGCTTAGTTTGTTCACTTGGCTACAAAGATGCTAATGAAATTTTGAATGCTCATTCAATCCCATATAGAAGTCAGCGTCACACAAACTTCCGCCTTTCCGTGCACATGTGTGAACTCACTCCTCTGTGAGCTGCACTTGTTCCAAGCGATCCATCAACTCTCTGTTTTGTCTTTGCTTTATTTCCTTCTCCCGTTTGCTTTCCATTTGTTTCAGGAGACTCTGAGAATATTCCTCTTGCTTAAAAGCATTGATCTCAGGGCTAAGTGGTCGTTTATCAAACAGGAAAGATTTCTGAAATGAAACACAAGCAAGTCTCTTTATTCTCACATTCAAACTAAAGTTAAAGATGCAAACTAAAAATCAATCAAGTATTGCTTAATTTCTAACATTTTTCCATTCACCCAGACATTAACTAGCTAGTATTTAGACAGCCCACAGAAAATGACAAGAGCATGCTCTGTGACAAAGCTGAGCTAAGTTTGCACCTCTTTCTGAGTAGACCCTGATAATTACAACATCCTTACAAAGGATCAGGAATACAGTGAGTATCTACTGTGAGCCTAGACATTCTAGGACTGGGACACCATTAGAGGAATTGAGCAGGAGAGTAATATATTTTAAGAATTTTTGAAGATCATTTGGGATTTTTGTGAAGAACTGGTCATAGGGTAGTGGTTGGTGGGAGGGCAGGAGAGAAGTTTGCCTATGCTGTGCTCTGGAGAAAGATAGTAACATTGATGATAAAGAGACTGGGGCAAATATTGGATACTCCTTACATATGGCACCCACGCGGCTAATAAGAACTTCCACTTAAAATTTAACGAAAGCTTAAAAAAGGGTTTTAGAAACAAAAAAAAAAAAAAAAAAAAAAAAACAGAGACAAACAAGGTTTCTTGGTAGCAGCATTTTTCTCGGTTGGACTCTGCTTTGCGAGAGACAAGCAGATTTTTGCGTGGCTCCTTTAAGGGAGGATTCCTGACTCAGCATAAGCAGCAAAAAACCACATAGCTTTTAAGAAGCACTGCTAACAATTTATTGGTGTGTATGAGAGCTGGCAATGGCACTGACCACATCTCCAAGCTGGCAACATGCTGCTGGGTGCAGCATAGACCAAGACAGTGAGCACAGCTCTCATTGCTGGCGGTAAAATAGCCACGGCCATCTTTGATAAAACACAGCAGAAACAACTGTGACTTTCATTTCAGCAGTGTTGTTGTTTACCAGATAAAAGACTCGTGGCCAGAAAAAGATAAAGATTTACAGTAAAGACAGATTCACATTAAGAGAAAGCGCTAAAGTTTTACATTGTGTTCTAAAATATATGTAGGCTTGGGAGAAAAAAGAAATAAGATGGTTTTAAAAAGACAGCAAGGAGCTGGGTGTGGTGACACACGCCTTTAATCCCAGCACTTGGGAGACAGAGACAAGCAGATCTCTGTGATTTCCAAGTAAACCTGGTATGTAGAATGAGTTCCAGGACAGATAAGAGTTACACAAAAAAACCCTGTCTCAAAAAATACAAATAATAATAATAATAATAATAATAATAATAAAGCCACAGATGGAGAGAATATGGATACTGTATGGCATTATATTGTCTTTTTATCGTTTGACTACTGAGGAAACAATTGTTAAAGGAAATGCTGCTGGATTAATTCAATTTATATATTTTAAAAATGCTTTGACTTCAAAATTTAAGTCTAAGGACAAGTTACTGGGGAAAAGGATTTCTGTTTTTGTTTCCACAGAAAATGAAAAGCTGTGGATTCCTTCCAGACTAATGTGGTTTGAGCATGCCAGACCCCCTGAAACAGCGTTCCTGGTAATCTAACACTCAAAACAGCTTGAACAAGGCAGCCTTGCAGACTACAGCCAGGATATCTGCATCTTCTTAGGATCCCCATGACAGCGCCCCTTACCAGCAGGAATTAGTTTGCAAAGAACAACACCCAAATTCCCAAATATTGTTATAAATGTTTGTTTTCATTTAAATGGGGTTGGTTATAAATGGTTAATGATCACAGCCAAATCTTTTTAAAGGTAAAAAGAGGGTTATGGTATAGATATGAATATTTTGTTTTGGAATGAATTTTCATTTATTGATACAATTTAAGGTCAATTTTGTGATGTGTATATTTCTCCTCTTGTTTAGATATTGTGTTTGCATAGTTCGTTTAGAAATGTAATGTATAATTTAGTTCAGATTTTAGATAGTTACTTATAATAGTCAAAACTTATAGCTAGGTGAGTTAGGATTTCTAGATATATAGTGATGTATCTAAGATGGATAGGAATTCTTCAAACCTTTCAAAGACCTACAGAATATGGCATTTAAAATGGTTTAGGGTTTTTCTTGAAAGTGAGACATAAATGATCCTGGCAACACCACCTGTGTCAAAAAGAAAGATGGACATTGAAGAAAGTATATAAAGTTTACTTTCAATATGACAAGACTAGCCATTTGGGCAAGATACTGCTCTTGTCTGGACTATTTGACTTTATGCTGTATAAACTGGACATGCAGGACCCACAGAAAAGTGACTGCTGATTCAAGATGGACATTGCTACAGAGTTCCTGCTTCATGGATGAGTCTGCCAGACAGTCTGTAGGACACAAAGAAAAATGACTGACAAACTGCCAATACAAAATGAGAGTTTAAAGTTTCCTGCTTTGCAGAAAAGTCTGCCAGACACAGTATGGCCTATAGGCTGAAGATGGAAGATTACAGAAGAACTTCAGGTGACTGACTGGGCAGTGAGTTGTCTCTGTCACTTCTAGAATTTATATATTATCCTTCTGTTGTCTTTGAGAGAGTTGAAGACAAATAGTTATGGTTATAGTTTTCCTTAATTAGGATTAAAGATAAGTTACATACACTTTAGACAAACAAAGATAGGATAGATGATGGAATATTTTCTTAAATCTTGCTAAATGTTAATGAACTAAATAATGTTAATTGTGATTCTTATTTGATAACTGTTGTGTAATATATTTTGCTATGTTAAGGTTAAAACCCTTCTTTTTATTTAGACAGAAAAGAGGAGATGATGGAATGTCATTCTGTAAATATGTTTCTCATACTGGTTAATGAATAAAGCACTGTTGGCCAATAGGAAAGCAAGATAGGCAGGACTAGGAGACAAGGAGGAAAGAGGAAGTAGTAAGGAGGAGTCAGCATGGAGAGACTGGGGAGACCAGACACCTGCCCCACTCCCAGGTAAGATAAGACCACGTGGAAATACATAGAAATGGGTTAATAATTAAGACAGAGCTAGCCGATAAGAAACTAGTACCTGATCAACAGCATTTATATTTAATACAGAGTCTGTGTGTTAATTGGGGCTGGCGTGGCGGCAGGACAAGACCAATGGCAGGCGGAAAAACCATACTCCTTACAGTAGAGAGTGAAAAAGAAACCAGAAATCAATCACTCCTACATGGAGTGTTTGTGCAACTCTCTGGCTGGTGATGACAACCTGCACAGAAGCTAAATTCTGTGACAGTAACATAGTCCAACTAAATTACTAATATGAGAAGATAGAGAAGAATGGATGAGGATGGAGGTCCTAAGTCTTTCTATGAAGAGGTAGAAAGTGGGCAGTCATAACTGTAATCTATGGCTTACACTGTAGGAAGGCAGTGATCAGGTCTAAATGCCAAGGGACAGATGCTTTCTTTCTCTCCTGGATACCCTTGCCTGGAAAGCTCCTCCTTCATTTTCTTCTTTGCTTTATACTTACATGCAGGAAACATTTCTATATCCCCAGTTTGGAATAAGTGACTTTCCTCTTTGCTAATATGGTGCTTTTTGCAAAGATTTACATGGCTGTTATACTACACTCATCTCTGAGTGTCTTCCCTAGACTGAGATCTCATTAGAATACAGAATTCATACTACTAGATGCCAACAGAATGGCCAGTCCAGAGGAGTCTAATGGTGTGTTTAATGGTGAACAAAGTACATTTCAATGATATCTTTGTGCAGAATATCAGATTGTATCAATAGTGATATACAAAAAGATTCAGGCAGAAACAAAGGTAGATTCAATGGTTGAAGACATGAAGTGAAGCAAGTAGCTTTCCTCCATCTTAAGTGGACTTCCCAAACCTTAATGCACTCAGATCACCTGGAGATGTCACCCCAGTCTGATTGCACCCATGGTGCAAATCTAAGGTGAGTCCCTAAAACTTTTAACTCCTAGCAAGTCCCCAGATAATGTCAATGCTGCTGCTTTCTCTTTAGATCTTAGGGCTGACCATTGGGATCCTGCCCTTCACTTGTCCCAGGGCCTGATTGGAAAGGACTATGATTAACAAGAATTGTAGTGACTAATAGAAATCCTATTGTGACTGTGATTGTTGTGGAGACAGACCCTCAACAGGCCTACACAGGCTACTTTCCAACTTAGTTACTTTAGATGACACAAAGGATAATAGCTTCAAAGTCTTACAGGTGAGGAAATACCAACAATAGAATTTTTATGTGAATAAAACAAATCCAACTTTAATAAAACACAAAGAGATGACCATTGTCTTATTAATATTATCCCAACACAACTAGCAGAACTTGGGGAGCAAGCACTACCGTATTCAATCCCAGCACTCAGGAAGCAGAGGCAGGAGTACCTCTGTGAGTTCAAGGCCAGCCTGATCTACAAAGCCAAAACCATTACATAGAGAAAACATTTCTTGAGTGCTTGCTTCGGCAGCACATATACTATATGCTGGAAAGGACGTGGAGAAAGGGGAACGCTCCTCCATTGCTGGTGGGAGTGCAAGATAGTACAGCCACTTTGGAAATCAGTATGGCAGTTTCTCAGGAAAATGGGAATCAGTCTACCTCAAGACCCAGCAATTCTTAGGCATATACCCAAAGGATACACATTCATACAACAAGAACATCTGTTCAACTATGTTCATATCAGTATTATTTGTAATAGCCAGAACCTGGAAGCATCCTAGATACCCCTCAACTGAAGAATGGATTAAAAAAAAATGTGGTACATTTACACAATGTAGTATTACTCAGTGGGAAAAAAAAAAAAAAACAATGGAATCTTGAAATTCGCAGGCAAATGGATGGAACTAGAAGAAACCATTCTGAGTGAGGTAACCCAGCCCAGAAACTCACTCATAAGTGGATATTAGACATAGAGCAAAGGATTACCAGCCTAAAATCCACAACCCCAGAGAAGCTAGGAAGCAAGGAGGACCCTAAGAGAAACATACAGCAACACCCAAAGAAGGGGGAGGGGACAAGATTTCCTGAGCAAAAAGGGAACACGGGGCTTGTATAGAAGAGGGTAAGGAGAACATGAAGGATCAGGAAGATTGAGTAGAGGGAAGAATAGAGAATGAGAGCTAGGCTGGAGAAATGGCTCAGCTGTTAAAGGCTAGGCTCACAACCAAAAATATAGAGAATGAAAATAAGAAAAAGAAATATCTTAATAGAGGGAGCCATTATAGGTTTAAAGATAAATCTGGCACTAGGGAAATATCCAGAGATCTACAAAGATGACCCCAACTAAGAATCTAAGCAACAGTGGAAAGGCTACCTTAAATGCCCTTTCTCTACAATGAGATTAATGACTACCTTAAATGCTATCCTAGAACCTTCATCCAGTAGCTGATGAAAGCAGAAGCAGAGATCCACAACTAAACACTGAGCCAAACACCTGGAATCCAGTTGTGTAGAGGAAGGAGTGATGAGCAAAGGGGTGAAGACCATGCTGGAGAAACCCACAAAAACAGCTGACCTAAGCAAATAGGAGCTCACAGACCCTAGTCTGACAGCTGGGGAACCAGCATAGAACAGAACCTGAATGTGGGTGTCAGTTGGGAGAACAGGTAAGTCTATGGGGCCTGTGGCAGTGGAACCAGTATATGTCCCTAGTGCACAAATGGAAGTTGGGGGCCCAGTCCCTATGGAGGGACACTCTCTCAGCCTATATACATGGGGAATGACCTAGTCCCTGACCCAAATGGTGTGACAAACTGATGATCCCCCATGGGAGGCCTCACCCTCTCTGGGCAATGGATGGGGGAGGGATGGGAATTTGGTGGGGAGCATGGGAGAATGGGAGGTATAGGAAACTGGGATTGGTGTGTAAAATAAGAGTGTTTTTAATTTAAATTAAAAAAGAGAAAAAAAGAAAAGAAAACCTGTCCTGAAAAAAACATTCGAGATTGAGAAAGAGGCAATTGAAAGGGGGGGGAGCGCATTGCTGAAGTGATTAAAAAGTTTGATAGGAAACAATTTGGTAGAAAACACACAATCTTCTTTTTTAGTATTGCTTCTGCTATTGATAGAAATTTTAAAGAGACTCACATAAAATTCAGGTTTCTCATTCTTGTGGTTCCTTATAGCTTCGGCAACCCCAAGATTATAGGCAGCATTTTTCTGATTCTGCTCTCTTGCAGCCATACTTTTTACCTGTTACAAACAGGGTTTTTCTTTAATTTAATGACAAAATATAATATCTAAAGCCCTTTATTCTGCCAGGCAGTGGTGGTGCACACCTTTAAACCCAGTAGAGGCAGGTCTACAAAGCAAGTTCTAGGACAACCAGGGTTACACACAGAAACCCTGTCTCAAAATAACAAACAAAAACAACAACAAAACCTTCATTCTATAATAATTAATTCTGTAATATTGACATTCTCCATTCTTTCCAGTCTATGTCATTAATATGTTCTAATTAATATGTTCTATGCAACACAGAAACCTATTTGGATGCAATGGCACTTTCTGATGTCCTTAATGACTTGTAGACATGAGGCGAGGTATTTGTTTACTACTCCACATTCTTAGAGTCTGGACATCATCACTATAACCATAATAAAAAGGAATGGAAGATTTTTACTACAAATTTGCACACAGAAGCAGCATCATTGGAGACCACAGAAATATGCATAAAATATAAAGGTTTTATTCTGAGCCCTCCCACTTCTTGAGATAGGCCATAACTTTAAAAGGAATAAGATTTGACAAGATTTATATTTTATCAAAATTAAATAAACCTATCATTTCCACTTTTTTTCTTTTTGAGACAAGGTGTTACCAGGCAGCGCTGGACAGCCTGAAACTCACTATGTGTACACAAGGCTGGCCTCAAACTCTCTTCCTCCTCCTGAGATTAAAGGCATGCAGAACCAGGCCTGGCTCATTTTCTCCTTTAAAACTCAGCCCTGTGGGTTGAGGGGAAGATCCATAATGTATGCTGATATTAAACATAGGGATATTCATCAGTGAAAACTCGGACACCACCTGTCTTAATTGGGGTTTCTGGTGTGGTGAAACACTATGACCAAAAGGAACTTGGGAGGAGATGAGCTCAGTTAAACTCTCAAGCCACACTCCATCGCTGAGGGAAGTTGGAGCAGGAGCTGAAGGCAGGAAGGAATTGAAGCAAGAGGAACACTGCTTACTGATTTGCTCTCCACAGCTTTCTCAGTCTGCCTTATATAACTCAGGACCACCAGCCCAGAGATGCTACTGCCTCCAATGAGCTGGACCCTCCCACATCAATCATTTATCAAGAACAAGCAGTATAGGCTTGCCTGCAGGCAACTCTCATGGAGGCTTGTTCCCAATTGGAAGTCACTCCTCCCAATGACTATAGTTTGTGTCAAGTTGACATTAAACCAACAAACACACCACCGCTTTTAGCCCAGCAGCATACAAATACAGTGCAAATATGAGCAGAAAAAATTAGTTGAGTCTAAGAATGGTGTCCTGCTGTCCTGCTGTCCCACATCAAACCCTCTCCCTCTAAGGTGTTAGGGCTACCTGGTTTTTGAAGAAAGCCTCCTGGTCTTTGAGAATTTGGTACTGCTGCATGAGTCGCTCGTCCTCCATCTCTCTCCTCCTCCTCTCATCTCCATAATACAATGGGAAGTTCCGTTGTGCTCGTTGCAAACACACATAGCACATTTCCTACAATTCAAATTTCAGAACGAAATATTTATCTTTCTTTTGCCTTAATTTTCTTTAATTCCTTCACAAGCTTTCCAAAGACTGGGTATGTCAAGAAATGCATTTCATAAAAGAATATATTGGTGAGATATAGTATCTAATATGCAATTTTAAAAAAAAGGTTTACAGAGTTAATCTCACAATTAATTAAAAGGATTTAATGAACTCCAAGAGCTTTAGAAAGGATTTCCTAGCCCCTTTCTCTTAAGTGGGAGCTCTTGACTAGCAGGCAAATGTCAGTGCAGACACTTGAGTATGCCCGTAGATAACATTAAGAGTATGTCCATAGATTATGTTAAGGATGATTGATTATTATTTCTATTGGAGATACAGAAATCAGAGGATGAGTCTGACTGGGCTTTATTCAATCAAAGGCACTATACCTGTCCTGCCTTATTATGATCCTGGCAAGCTGAGGCAAGAGATGTTCTGAGCTTCTCATTGTCATTTCTCTGACAACCTGGAGGTGATAAGCTTCAAAGACAATGGAACACTAATGTTTAATACAATCTGATCTCTAGAACAATGATCATTTTAAAGAACCCTTAAATTATGTAAAGGGTGTGTGTGTGTGTGTGTGTGTGTGTAGAGTTATGTGCACACACATGTATAGAGGTGTATACACATGAGTGCAGAGGACAGAAGAGAGTGTTGAAGCCACTGGAGTTGTTGGAGTTGCAGGCAGTTGTGAGTTGCTTTATATGGGTTCTGGGAATGAAACTCAAGACTCTGGGAAAATGGTTACTGTTCCTAACCAAGGACTTATCCTTCCAACTCCAGGAGAGTGATAATTTTAGAGGCAGGTGTAAACACAAGATAAAAAAAAGGAAGAAGTAAACATTAACATAAATACCTAAAGGAAGTAAGAGAAGCAATGGGGATTCCCAAAAGGAAACATTTCAGAAGAGCAAATGGGAGCAAATCCTGGAGGTGGGAACATTCCTGGATCCATGGTGCTGGAGAGAGATGAGTTAGGGATGAGAGGCATAGGAGAAGTCAGAGACCTGGCAGGACCCTTGCAGCCAGAAGGACTTTATCTCTCACAGGAGAGTGGGGAGCAGAGGGGTCTGGATAGTAGATGCCATCATCTGTCTTATACTGAGTTCTTTTGGCTACAGCATTGAGAGAAATGGGAACTGAGGTGGTTAAATACCAATTTAACAGGTCCTAGGATTATCTAAGAGACAAACCCTGGGCGTGTTTGTGTGAGAGTTTCCAGACTGGGTTGACCTGGGTGTTAAGACCCACCCTGGTGCTGAAGATACCATTCTATGGCCAGCATGAATAAAAATAACAAAGCAGGCTGAGCACCAGCATTTATTTCTCTCTCTTTCTGGCTGCGGGAGCAATGCGACCAGCTGCTTCAAGCTGCTATGCCATGGTGTGCCCACCGTTGAACTGTGAGCCAAAATAAGTCCTTTTCTTCAGCTGCCTTCATCAGACATTTAGTTCCAGCAACAAGAAAAGTAATTAATACAGAGACAATGACAAAGAATGGTAGATCAAAGACTCCTCCAATTAAAATAGACACAAGAAAACAGGAAAATGCACCCTATGTTAATATATGACACATAAAAACACAAACTATATATTTGAAATAAAAGTGATAATGCTATTTTAAATGCATCACAAAAGTAAAAGAAAGAAAATGGTGTTTTAAATAGAGAAACAAAAACCAGATTCGGACACTCCAATATACATTTTGTAGGAGCCAAACTATAAAACAAATGAAATAATGAAGAACAATATTCTAGAAAACAATGGCTAAGGAGTTCCCAGAAAATCCTAACTCCTATAAAGAGTGAGAAATGCAAACATTAAGAAATAAAACTCTTAACAGCTACAAGAAGGAACAAGTCAGATGTCTCTTTGAGAGCTCTAACAGAAGTAGAGAAATTTTACTAAAGTGCCTAGGAAAAACTAACCATGAACCAAGAATCGGCAACATGATACTAATCCACTTGAGCAATAAAAAAAAAATAACCCTCCTAAAAGACAGAGAATTTGCCCAAAGAATTGTTACAGAACACATAGGAAGACAGCAAAAAGCAGATGCGTTGGAAACACTGGTGAATAAGGAAGTAATGGGGTGCCAGGCCTGTGTGGCAAACTTAGATTCCATTTGAAGTCAGCATTAAACTGCCATGTGATACATAAGCACTCAGAAATCAACAATACCTGTAGAGTTGGAAAGTAGTCTGTGAAAGCAATCAGGTGGGCTGAATTCTCCCTATGCTGTTTCTGCCTCAGCTGAATAATATTCATTCCTCTTATAGTGTATCTTACCCTTCACATGTGTCTGGATTTCCCTTTATATTGCAATCCCTGGACACCTCTATAATCCCCATCACCTCCCACATAGACTGTTCTCAGCAATGCTTAAAATTTCCTTAGTCAGGGGAAGACTTCAAGGTTATTTTAGTAAAGTGCACCAGAAAAAAAAGGTCAAAGCATTACTTTTCAGAGGTCATGATCTTCCCACCATTTACACTTCGCTCAAACTTGTCCAACAGGCTGACGCTTGTCACTTTGGCAGGAGAGATAGATTGCCTATCACGATGTTTCTTGGGTGACGAGATCTCTAGAACAAATAAATGCAAGGGACAGTCTCTTCAGTTTTCAAACACCTAAATGGAGAGCTAAATACACACAAATTCTGAACAGGTTTTTACCAAGGAAAAATTTCCTGTAATATATGCCTTAAATATCTCTTACCCTATTGAGGCAGAGTATGCCCTAGAGTCCACCTCATGCCTTTATGCTGTTCATCAGGACCTGGTCAAGAACAGGAGGCAACCACCAAACAGATAGTAGTGTAAGAGGCTGAGAGTCACGGGGTTAAGGCAAGGTACAGGGTTCCAGGAATAAAAAGTGTTTATAAGAAGAAAAAAGAATACAGTGGAAATTTGCAAATCTAAAAGTTTGTGTTTGAATGTGAAATTTCCCCCTATAAACTACTGTATTTGAACACTTGGCCCCCAGTGGGTGACACTGCGAAGGTTAACAACCTTTAGTAAGGTAGGATCTTGCTGGGGGGGGCGGGGGGTGAGTCACTGAAGGTGAACCTTGGGGTTTTACATGTGGGCTCCACTTCCTGGTCACTCTCTGCTTCCTGACTCCAGATACACTGAAAGCAGCTGGCCTCCCACCCTGCCATACTTAGCCCCTGGAACTCAATCACAAGCCAAAGTAAACCTTTCCTTCCTTAAATCTCATCAGATATTTCTTCATGGCAACAAGGAAAGTAATTAATACACTAACTTTATTTACTTTGATCATATGAGTTCCTGAGTAATACCGCCTAATTCATTAGAGTCAAGAGTAATAGAGTGTACCCACAAACCATTGGCCTACCCCTGGCTCCTTCTTCTTTGTCTGATGGATCTTTCAACTTGATCTTCCTTGGTCTGTTCTCTCCACCTTCCTCTACAATGATCTCCATGGGTTTGTTCTCTGTCTCTTTGTGTTCAATCCTAAGAATGAATCAAGATGTTTGTCCTCGTCACTGGTCCTGAACGGGTAATTATGTGAACTCTCAGTTCTTGGAAGCAACCTACTACCTCTCCGATTTCAAACAAGTCTACTTCCTTCAAGAGGTGTGAGATTTGCCTTGTGATATATGGAGCATGAACTCCCTCTCGTTGAGGCCAAATCTGGGAGCCTGCCAAAACCACATACCCTTGTACCACAGGCCCACAAAAGAGCTTGATATAAAGAAATCACTTCAACACCTCAACTTAAATTTTTTCCCCTTTGGTTTCAGCTTGTTTTTCTGTCCTTTCTACAACTTTCTGTCCTTTCTTTCAATGTTCTCAGTAGCACACTATTTTATTTCAGTTGTTTAAAATAAAAAAGAAACTAATTTTGCATCTCTATAAAATGGAGAATTGCAAGATGTATATTATATAATTATAATGAAGACTGACTATCATGCTATTGAGAAAATGCCTAGGAGTTGATCACTTGCTCCAAGGAGCAACCCTAGTGCTATTGTGACAGTTATCATCACCAGCAGCAGTCCCCAGGGACACCCTTCCATCTTCTTGTGGACAAAGCATCAGTATGCTCAATCCTAATAGCCAAGCTTACATAGGAGGTGTGGTAGGAGCTAGAAGAAAAAGAAGCTAGGCTGGAGGAAGTAGAAGGAAGTAGTGGAAACTTAGCTGGCAAGACTATTACGCATATTGCAGGAACTAAGGTGAATGGCATGTAGGGTCAGAATCATTCCAGGGAGTCATTTTTCTAAAGTTTAACCATACAAAATATATGCAATAAATTCTCACTTGGCGCTTATAAAGAGATGATAGAGAGAGAGAAGGAAAGGAAGGGGGTGAGAGAAACAGAGAGAGAAGCAGAAAAGGAAGAGAAGTAGAAAATTAGTTTGGAAAACAAATATTGCCCAACAAGCAAGGAGAAGCGATGCCTGGATTAAACCCTCCCACCCCCCCAACCCCCCGCCCAGAGCAAATCACTCACCTTGGAAAGGCCAGTGCACTGTTGGGACGCTTTCCAAAGCCCTCTCTGCTAGACAGCACTGAATCCATGGTGCCAGGCCTCTGGAGGATAGAGATAAGGATTGCACCTGAGCTGTGATCCAACACAGATCAAGACTTCCTCCAAGGCAATGCTAGCACTGTGCTGTTTGTATTTGTTCAGGGTGTAAAGTCCAGTGAGGAGTGACCTCCTTCATCAAAGGTCACCTGGGATAGTTCCATAAAAGCTGCCTTTTATCAAACTATCTCTTTTTGAAAATTGCCCTGAGAGTTGAAGCTTCTTCTACACATCTTGGGGAAGTGAGCAAACATCCGGAAACCATCAGGAAATGAACACACTCTAGGCCACGGGACTCTTGCTATTAGACAGTTTAGAGGTCTCTGAAGTCAAGGGGGCTTTTGTCCCCCTGCACACCACTAGCTGTTAGGTGTTCCCAGGCACTAGGGATAAGAAATGGAGGTGCCTTGCAGGATTTTAATAAGCTACTCTACAGAAAGGTGTGCAGAACATGTAACCAAGAGCTATGTGGTTATCACTTTATATAATAACCACATTATTACCATGGGTTAATATGTACAATTACTTCTGAATGAATTCTTTAGCCTACAAAAGACTTTAAGAAAATTCCGAAGGGGCTGGAGAAATGGCTCAGAGGTTAGGAATATTGGATGCTCTTCCAGAGGATCCTGGCTCAATTCCCAGCACCCACAAGGCAGCTTGCAACTGTCCAACTCCAGTTCTAGGAGCTCTGAAACCCTCAGACACACATGTAGGGAAGCACCAATGCACATAAAATAAAAATAATTTAAAAAAAAAAAAAAGAAAATTCCAAAAGGAGGTGTTTTGTTTTTGTTTACCACCAAAATATGCACATAGAATTCCCAAGAGAACTATTTTTAGGACCATACTCAGGTTTAAAATATAGGACATCTGCCGGTCAAACCACTGCTCCCCACCACATTCCATAGCGTTTACAGAGTGAATGAGATATCGAGGAGTACTGATTAACCCAGAGTTCCAGGGCTAAATTCACCTGTCAAGCCACCTGCACTGCAGCCACCTGCAGCCTGAGTTCTCAGCCCCAAACACGCTGTGTACATGGTGCATCTGTCCACGAGGGCAAGGGACACAACACAGTTATGCTTTAGAGTTCAGTGGACTGGTATAACACCAGCCCCTCATTAAACAGTGTTCAAAAGTCTGCAGTCCTCCAGAGTTAGGAAGAAGCCAGCCAGCCACTTGGGCCCTTCTTGTAAATTTGCAGATCCTGCCTTATGTTCTCAGTTTCTATTTTCCACATGTCAGCATTCCCTTTAGCAACCCTGTGTGGAAAACTCCAAGGGGCTTCCTTATATACACCCCCATCTCCTCAGTGACCATTGCAGAGGTTCCTGATCGGAGAAATAGACAATTTTCATAGTCTTTTCATTGTAAAAAGAAAAAAATAAAGCTTTTGTTATTAGGATTTTGTGATGATTCTATTAATTCCTGTCATATTAGTACCCAGAGGTATGCATAAGGCCTGAATAAATGCTACTGATTAACTATCTCTTTGCCTTTTTAAACTCAGTATATCTAACTTAGCATGAACATCATGCCAGCTACTTAATGATAACAAAGATGGTGACAGTTATGAAATTTGTTTTATGACACTGCAAACTAAAAGCTAGAAAGTAGGAAGCCGGAGAGATAACTCAGAGGTAAAGAGCACTGGCTGTTCTTCCAGAGGACCTTGGTTTGAGTCCTACCACCTACATGGCAGCTCACCCTGTCTGTAACTACATCCTCATGGTATCTAGTGCCCCCTTCTGGCTTCCATAGACACTACACACATGTGCACAGACAACATGCTAGGAAAACATCCATACACAAAAAATAAAGTGAAAGGGGAAAAAAAGCTTAAAAGTATGCTTGCATGGCTTGAACTAGATTTTACAGTAGCACAAGCTGCAAACACTGAGTACTGAGGAACTCTGGGTTTGAATCCCTGTACTGGCTGTATTGACCACTGACAGGCTTTATACAATAGGACCAATCTGAACCACCACATTCTGTATGGGAAATCGGTGATGACCCTGCAGTGCTTCTTTTGTGGTATTTTGAGATTCAAATGAAATAATTCACGCAGGAGATATTTTTCAGTAATAAGGTACTAGAAAATGTCAGAATTATGTGTTCCTATTGCTTTTCCCATTCCCTAGGTAGCACTGATTCAAAATTTGATTTGAAGTTCTTTACCTTACTTGTCAAGGAACTGGCTGCCTATAGCCACACATGTCCATCCACTTGGGAAAACTGTTATTTAAAATATGTCAATACAAGCTTTTATTTGTTTGGTATGGGGAAGAGGGCTGTTGAGACAGGGTCTCTCTACATACCCTGGCTGTCCTGGAACTCACTCTGTAGACCAGGCTGGCCTCAAACTCACAGAGATCTACCTGCCTTTGCCTCCCAAGTGCTGGAATTAAAGGCATGCACACCACCATACCTATCCCAAATATACCTTCTTAATGAAAGCACACCCACAAATTGGAAAGAGGGGTTGTGTGATGACTAATTTTAATTGTAAACTTGATCCATTCTAGAATTCCTAGTTCAGGTTGGCCTGTGGGCATGTCTGTGGAGGACTATCTTAGTTGCCTTCATTGATGTGAACAGATGCAGACTGAAAGTGGACAGCACCATTCCCTGGTTGTGGTCCCTGGACTGCCCCAGAGTGCAGGCTGTGTGTGTAGTGTACTTACCTGCTTCAAGTTCCTGCCGCCATGGCATCCCTATTCTGCTGGACTGTAAGCTGGACTGTGAGCTAACATAACCCCTTTTCAGTTGCTTTTTTGCCAGGCTGTTTTATCACAGCAACAGAAATGAAACCAGGGAAGATTAGAAGAAAACAATTTACATTTGCAAGGGCTTTGGTCAAGGTGCCACTTCCGTCCATCGTACAAAGGAAGTCCTTATAAAATCTCATCTTCACTTTGCCGTCTCTGATGGAAAGGACCCCAATTCCTTTGAATGTGAACTCCACATTTTGTTTGACAGATATGGATCGTGACAAGAAAAGCAATGTCTCCTTAACACATCCTTCTATTGTGTCCCTGTTAAATGGACCCTCCAGAGATATCATGACAAAATTAAGTGGGACAACCGGAATATCACCTGGAGGAAAAGAAGACAGAGTGGGGAGAAGGAGATCATAGTAAAAATAAAACATATAAGGCATATTGTGTACAATTTTAAATAATTACCTGATTCTTAATATTAAAAAGAAATGTTCATATTTTCCTCTTATATTTGTAATATTATTGCAGAAAATGAATATAACTGGTCACTAATACATGATAATCAGTACAATTTCACCTAAAAGCATAATTATTTTGCTCATAAAAATAACTGGCTATCTGAACACTCTAAACAAGGATTTGGTTTTCTAGGGAACAGAGCAGTGGTAAACTGCTTCTATTCCTCATTTTCTGGGTTTTTCAGATCCCTCATCTTTCAGAACACTGCTGCAGTGTTTGTGCATGTATTCTGGCTGTCATATAATTGTTAGGCAATTACAAATATTTGTAAATGTTAAATGTTTGAGAAGATAGCCATCTTATCTTTCATGAAACTAAATCTTATGCAAAGGTATCAGGCTAGACGAGATGCAGAAAGCTATCTTTTCCAAAGAGCTCATAAACAACAAGGCAAAGGAACATGTAGCTTGAAGGAAGCGAGGATCTACTTGACTAGAACTGGTGTAGAAGCTATGCAAGGCCCACAGACCAGAAAAAAAGTCAACAGCATAAATGATGGAGATGACCACAACAAAACAGAGCAATAACAAGGTCCAGAGAGGCATGCTCCAAGCATTCGCTTGGTACGACTTAATCTTCCAAATGCCCATTACTGCTGAATGATAAGAATTAGCAGCTCTACCAGATGTGACTTACACTATATCAGCCAGTCTTCTGCACAATGAACAATGGTTCCTTACCAGCTCCCTCTGCTTCTTTTTAATGTATGCTTCTTATTTTTGCCATTTTTTTTTCATTTCCTTTGCATTCCAATGAATACTTCTTACAATAGAAAGTCAGGTTGCCTGCCTTCCCATAGCCCATTGCGTCTCTGCCATCAGTCTTCCAGTCCACTTAGGAAAGACGCTTTCATGGTGGATGAGCCAGTGAATTCTTGCAAATCTGCCCTCTCATGACCTTTCAGGGACCTGTTGATTGTGCCCTGTTTTATATCCACAACACCATTCTTGGTTCTACAGCTCCTCTTTGGTCTAGTTGCTGGCTTCCCTCTTCTTTTACTCCTTATTATACTGAGAGACTTGAAGGATTGTTTTGATTTTCATGCGTGTTGATTTGGGAGGGTTTGTTTTTCCACTCTATCCTCACCTGCTTCTTTGTATACTCTTCTAGATACTCTTACTCTAACCTTGATCTATGTTCTCCACATCTCTTCTAAGCTCTGGGATCACCCCTGTCAACATCCCTAGAAGAATACCCGATTCAGTGTGGCTCAAAACAAGCTTGCTATGTTACCCATCACCACGAGCATTTGCTGCTCTCTCGCAGGAAATTTAAGTTATTCTAAGTAACTTCTCCCATTCTTACCTGATCCCATCAGCTCTCATCTGAACTGTATCCTCTTCCTTCCCCATTGCTTCTGCCTCCACTCGAGCTTTTGATTTATTTCAACAACTTACTGTAATCCGAAGTGCTCCTCCTAAGAAAATTGGACCAGTACCAAAGATGCACCGCTTTAAACCTGTCGGTAGTTCCCAGTGCCCATGGGATGGATCCTAACATCCTTATTACCATTGGTATCGTTAAGTATACCCTTCCAGTTTGCCACAGTCATCAGTCCTGGCAAAACACAAGTGCCAGGATATTTGTAACAGGATTCACTCTGTCTCCCAGCCTTGAGTTGTTCATACATTTCCTGAGATGTAGGCACAATTTCTCTGTTGGCAAAATCTCCCCACATGGAGACAGGCCTCCTATACACCTACATCATATTTGATCCAGTTCTTACCAAGGCTGATTTTGCAGCACTTAATCCTAAAAATTTCAAAGTAAGAGCCACGTCTTACTAATCACTGAAAACCACTCTACAGTGTTTGATTATCTAGTTACTTAATAATGAATAATTTTAACTCTAAGATGTAGGCAAAGTTGTTCTCTTGGACTACTTAATCCTGAAATTTCTATACCCCGTAAAAAACACGCTATAGATCTAAACTACTTTTTAAGATTATGACACAAGATCCAAGGTGGAAAAATAAACTATTAATTCTAAAGCAAATGTATGTTTGAAAAGAAACCCACTTCATCTCCATTTCCTTTCATACTGTTTGATGAAACATAAAATTTCAGGTGAATGACTAAAATTTTTTCAAGCCCACCATATTGAATATATACAAAGTAAATCATATGGTATTTTTGGTTTGGGGCATATGTTTTCTGGTATATGTTTTGTTTGCTTTTTTTTTTTTTTTTTTTTTTTTTGGTAGTTTCGTTTTTTGAAACATCATCTCACTCTATTGGCCCAAACAGCCTGGAGCTTACTGCAATAACTCAGATTTGTAGCAATCCTCCTGCCTCGGGCTTTCTTAGTGGTAGGATTACAGGATAAACCACTATGCCTGGACAGCTGGCTTGCTTTCTCCTTTTCATAGGGAATTACCGTAAAAATCAATTTCCTGGAGAGTTAAAGGAAAGTTGAGGGCTTTTCACCTCTGCCACAGAGGGCAGACCATTTCTCTTCAGGTGCAGCTGACTGTGATGCCACTAGAGACAAGAAGGAACACAACTGAGCCCTCAGCTGTGGATAGCCTTCCACCACCGGTATAGTGAGGCTCACACACTGAGGGTAGAAATAAGTATGCAAATACAACATGGAGTTAAGTTTGTTTTGTTTACCACTGTAGCCCTAGAACCTATAGAGTAGGCCCTTGATAAACATTTGTGGGAGAAAGGAAAGGAATGGAAAGGGAAGAATGGAAGAAAAGACTGTCTTAGGGTGTTAAAAAAAAAAAAACTCTAAGGTAATATATATTGAGTGCAATATTATTAAGTTTAACTTTTAATAATTTAGACTATATACATGATTTAAAAAAGACATTATTTTTCTCACAGCTAATTGAATAAGGTTTTTGTCTCATTACCCAGAGACCCTGAATTAGATTTCTCTTCTTTATAGTCACTTATAGTTTCTTAGGATCTGGAACATGAATATAAGCCTGTAGAACTCTGTACCAGTACTTTTTAAATGGACTTGGTCTTCCCATGCCTCCTTCAAGTTACTAAATGGACTCGAGTGACTGGCAAGTAAGGACATGTGCCACCAAGCCTGAGGACCTGAGTTCAATCCCCAGGACTTACATGGTAAAAGGAGAAAAATTACTCCCCTAGGTTGTCCTCTGACCTCCACATGCATCCTGTGTCACACACACACATTAAAATAAATTTAAAATTTAAAAAGTAAACGTAATGAACTTTAAGAAGACTTTAATTTTTCTACCGTGGCTCCCACTTCCACCAAAAGTACAATGTGAAACACAAGTCTCTCAAACCAGAAACTAATGCAGTCCTTTCCATTTGTCTCCACAGGCCAATAGATTTCTGGGAGGTGGGGGGGGGTTAAAATCTCAATAGTTAAAATTATTTACCAGGAGAAAATACTTTGTTCTGTTTGAGTCCGTGGGTCTGCACTAACTTCTCTGCCACGATAAACACTGGCCTCTGCACTAGAATAAACTTGTTGTTTCCCACTTCAAGCTTCTGCCTCGTGAAGGTGAAAGTTCCAAGTCCTGAAATCTGAACTCCCTAAATGGGAAAAAGAAGACAAAAAGAACACACACAATTCCATTAAAGTGTGAAGTTTTATAATAACCCAATCACCAAAAAGGACATGAAGATTTAAGCTTACTAATTTAACATAAAGTAGTCTCTGTGAGTCCTTTTAGATGTAATACTTACATGAAAATATTTATGGGTACCATAGCTTTCAAAAATCTATACCAAATATTACCCTTGTAATGTACATAATTCAATCATTTTCTATTTCATGAAATATTTGTTTCTTATTCTCTCAGACTTTATGTTCTCCATTTAAAGTCAGAAAACTCAATGGTGGAAAGAGCAGTGGAGGGTTGAGTATGAGCAAGCACAATCATGTTTGTAAGAGAATGTCACAATGAAGCCCAGTGCTTGTATGTGAACTAATGAAATAGAATGAGTAGAGAAGAAGCAGAATCAGACAAACCAGCATCCAGTAGTCTTCTACAATGTAATCTTGGCCTCTGAGTAAATCCAAATACTTATTGACCTCAAATTTGGTCTCTGATATGACATGTGATACCCAAAAAATATCATACACAATGATTACAAACTCATATATATATAAACAGAAAAAAAGAAAACAGACAGTGGGTAAAGGTAGCCATCTACAATGTGTGGTGGCCAAGACATGCATGCTTCGTGTAAAGGGAAGATTATATCATAGCCTGCATCCATGATTACATGCAAAAATGGAAGATAATATCATTAAGTCTATTGAGTTTTAAAGAAACTTGTGAGAAAAATACAAATACTATGCCAATTTTAACTAATGATAAATGGTTCAAATTTCCAAACCAGATAAAATAAGTTTGAAGGGTTCATTTAGCCATGGACTATCAAGTTAGGACATTTGAGTAGAGTATAAAGTTCCACAACCTAACTGCCTCCAAGCTCCTTCTAAAATCCCTGCCTAGTTCTACAGCATTCCAAGCCAGGACTTGACCTGAAGAAATAGTCCAACCATAGGTGGTTTCTTATTTTTCACTAGCTGAATTTAGTTTCTATATTTATATACTCTAATAAAATTTATTTCCAATAAAATGGCAGAACAAGAAAATTATTATTACTTCCCACACCCATACCAGGAACTGTCAGACCACAAGTAGCCTCATCTAGTTTCTTTACACAAACCCATACTGAGCAGCTCTGTGCTCTCTGTATCATTAAAAGAGATTTCCAAATGCATTGTCTAAGGATAATATCCAGCTTGCCACAAATTTTCTATGTATCAAAAAATAAAAATAAAAAAGAAGTGACAACAAAACAGAATGGCTCTAAATCTATTGCACTACTCCCAACATAAGTATGCAAGTCTGCATAAGAAATTTCTCTCAGAATTACTGGTTTGAAATTGGAGCATAAAACCCACCTTATGCATAGTTAGCTGCTTTTCCACAAATTCTGAAACATTCCCCCAGATGGTAGAGACTTCTGAAATTCAAAGGCAAATGAGAACATTTTATGTGAGCAACCATGTAATAGTATTTTAATCCTAGTAAGCAAAAAGTATAAATATGAAAAGAATAATTAAGGGCAGTGACTTCTGATGCATATAAAACAGAAATAACATCATTCCCCAAAATTTATTTTCCTGTTAACTAAAGCTTATGCCCATAAGTGCCAAGGAAATGGTTTTAATTACAACAATAATGGGACAGGGAAATGTGGTGTGAGGCCCTAGGTTGAATTTTCAGTACCTCAACAAAAGGGTTGTCGTGTAACTCAGTAGTAGAATGCCTACCATGCATGAGGCCCTGCATTCAATCCTTAACAGTAATAATAGTGAAAAAATAATGGAAGAAAACCCCTCTATAACAAAGGAAATTAAGTCATGTTTCATTTTCTCTAACACATGGGGTGTTAACCAACTATAATCTAGGGATTTTTTCTTAATGAATCATTCAACACCTATTTCCAAAGTGTTCAATATGGGCCACGTGACTGATAAGTGCATGAACTTGTATACTATTCTGTAACATAGGATCAAGGCTGAGGGCAACTGATACTCTAAAGGCTGCCTGCCTGCTCTGTACATTAGCTGTTCCTACTCATCTGCTTTTGTGAAATGCACATGATTTTTCATGGTCATGTGTCATTGTTACATACTAGCTGTTGCCTCTCTCCACTGCTGTTTTCCTGAAAGCTCCCTGCTTCTCCCAACTCACTGCCGCTAGTCTGATATGTTCTGGAAACAACAAATACACTAATATATATCTACAGTAATAACATTAAAAACTAACTGTGGGTAGGGGGCCCAGGCTCTTTCATTTGAATTAATATATAGACTTCATAATTCTACTTTGATCTGAAGGCTTTCTATACTTATTTTCTTGTAATGAATTGAGTTTTCCTACCCCTAACCCCGCCCCAAAAGACAGCAAAATAGTTACTAATTTTTATGTACAAAATAAACATGTAGTCTGGATATGAATAGCACCTAACAACAAAGAAAATTATGCCTGTATTTACTTCACCATCCTAAGTCTAATCATATATTATTGGTGGTGATTTCTAATTTAGGAACTTTTTACAAATTTTAATTATTAAATAAAAGACTAAAAAAAGGTAACTTCTACTGGACTGCCAGTTGGGGTTATGGAGAAGCCAGTTGGGGTCATGGTCTTCTCCAACAACGCAGACTGGTACTATTTTCTTCTATTGGATCAAATGGCGAAGGCAAGAAGATTACAGCCTTTAATTCTGATATATCAGGGCTATAAAATACTTTTCACTAACAATATGGCAGGATACAGGCAAGTTTGGTGGACAGAAAGCAGCAATTGTTCTCATGAGCATCTTGGAACACGTTTAATAATGGAAACCCATGACCAGTGAAACAGGGGCTACTTGCCATGGTAAACACAGGCCCACTGTGAACTAGTAGTATGCTGTTTCTATATCTTTGCCTTACCCCCACTGTGCCCCATCCTACAATAGTCACCCCTTCCCTCCTTAGGCAATAGCCCAAAGGATTCTACATTGCTGCTAAGAACTAGGAAAGTTTTTTAATCCCAGCGCTTGGAAGGCAGAGGCAGGTTAATCTCTGTGAGTTCCAGGTCAGCCTGGTCTACATAGAAAGTTCTAGGACAGCCAGTGCTACATAGTGAGACACTGTCTCAAAAGAGAAGAAAGAAGAGTAGAGGAGGAGGAGGAAGAGGAGGGATATCTATCAATCAATAGCAACTATATGCTAAATTAAAACTCTCATTGACACCATAAAAGTAATTAGCTCACTAATAGAAATCTTATTATCCCTATTTACAGAGAAATTTCATGATTAAATTGTGAAAACTCATAAAGAGTTTATGACTAAACATAAGATGCAGCTCAGATTTCAAGAAAATTATCTATACCAAAGAGGAAATGATTTAACCAGGACCAGGTGAAACTGTACTTTGTAACCAAACCCTGATGAGAAGTCTCTGATTTAAATGGGAATTTGAGCATGCTCTTTGTTCACTGAGATGATGTATCGAGGTCCATTTTAACATTTTATTCAATAAAGTAGGGCAGGCAGAGTTACACACAGTAGAGTTAATTATTTAAACTGAAGCTTGATATTTCTCACTGGAGAAAGAGGCTTCAGGCCTCTGCAATTCAATAAGAACCAATTTGTAAATGTTACCAATTATGATTTCTAAACCATTTGCTCTGACAACTGAGCTTTAGGAAGATTATCACTAAATCTAAGAATAAAAATAATTTCAACCCCATCTAAAGATCAATTTAAATGTAACCTATGACATCAAGCTTTTTTAAAAAAGAAAAGTCTGATCATTTGACAAAATCCAGCACATGAACCCCCAAACACACACACACACACACACACACACACACACACACACACACAAAAGACTCAATGAAATATCTGAGCTGACTAACTTATAAAGGTTATTGCGCCCAGAGCTTTGGAGGTGTCTCAGTTCAAGATCAGGCAGCCCCAGTGACTTGGCCACTACGTAATGACACATCATGGCAGGGATATTTGTCCATGAAGAGACTGTATGGGCAAATGTGAAACTAGAGCAGGGGAGAAAAGAGAGAAATACTGGTGTTCTAGAATCCTGAGGACACAACTTTAATGACATATTTAGGAGAACATTTTTCAAATGAGTTTGCCTTTTCATACCCTGGGCCCTCAGATGAGGTCCTCTCTTCAGTCACCTTTCACATTGTCCCAGCCTCAAGTATAGGATTTGCTTTAGTGATGGTAATCTCTTTAACCATTATAGCAAACTTGAACTCTTGCAAGCCCTTTTGCTATGAAACTGGATTTTTTTTGCCTCTTTTCTGCTGATTTTTTGTTGTTGTTGTTGTTGTTCTAAGTTCTCATCATAAACCAAGCTAAAATCAGTGAGTCATAACCATGGCATAGGCTTAATGTTACTCTATCTTGAAGTTCTCTCCACTAAGTAAATCATTCTATCCTCTTTAAATCCATCCTTACTCAAATCTCTAGCACATGGACAGAACACAACCACTTTTATTTTTCCCAGAATTCAGCTCAAATGGCCTCTCAGTTCCTGATAAGATTTGTTTCTCTTCTGAAATCTCATGATCAGTCTCTATTTTCCACATTCCTAGTCACATTTTTGTTTTCCTTTTATTTATGATGTGCACAGTGTCCTGCTTACATATATGCCCGCATGCCGGAAGAGAGCACCAGATCTCATTATAGATGGTGTGAACCACCATGTGGTTGCTGCAAATTGAATTCAGAACTTCTGGAAGAGCAGTCAATGCTCTTAACCTCTGAGCTATCTCTCCAGCCCATTTTTGTTTCCTATTTCTCACCAGAATGACCCAATAAGCTCTGAAAACAGCATTCTAGGAGCTTCTCTAGGCCACAAGTCTTAGGACTTATCTACATGCCTTCTATAAACCAGCTCCAAACATCACTGCATCCCATGGTCATGTCTATTACAACAATAACCCCACTCCTTAGTATATTTTATACTCAATCAAAGAGCCTAGGAAAGAGAGGGTTATTTTGATTCAGTATAGTCCATCATGACAGGAAAAGCACAATGACTAGAATATCTCGGTCTGTGGTGACAGGAGCCACTCATGTGATTCAGGAAGCAGAGAGCCCAGCCTGAGCCATGCTATATAACTCTCAGAAGAATGTCCCAGTGACCAATCTTTGTTAACTAGGTCTCACAATGTCCCCAAACAGAGCCACCAGCTAGATCTAAGTGTTCAAACGTGTAAACTCATTGGGGTCATTTCACAATTAAATCATAATTAGAAAGGCTAGTAAATAAAAGTGGGTTTTCTATATAGTTGCAGTGAATAAGGAGAAATTAAAAATTAAGCACATTAGAATTCTTTTAAAAATGAAATAGGTATGGATCTAAAAATGCATATAAAATCTATGAGAAAATACAAAACTGATGAAAGAAATCAAAGAACTAAGTATTAGAACATTTTATAAGAAGGCTCAACATTGTCAAGATGTTAGGTTTCTATAGATTCAATAATCTCAACTTCCTAGCAAGCCATTTTTTACATATCGACAAACTCTTTCTAAAGCCTACACAGAGAAGCATGACATAAAATAACCAAAAAAAATGTTAAATAACAAGAAGGGCCTGAGAGTGCATGACCTTTAATCCCATCACTCAGGAAGCAGAGGCAAGTAGAGCTCTGTGAGTGAGAAGCCACCCTTGTATACCTAGCCATTTCTAGACAAGCTAGGACTGCACAGTGAGACCCCCCAAGTAAGAACCCTAATACAAACTGTAGCCTGGGTAAATACAAAATCAAAGTAGGCTCATCATTTTTAATAACTGTACCACTCCAGTGGGGGATGTTGAAAATTTGGAATACTATGCATGTATGAGTTTGTGAGAAATGTCTATACCTTCCTCTTAACTTTAAAAAAAAATATTTTACAAAAGTTAGACAGGTTGTGGTGGCTCACACCTTTAATTCCAGCACTAAGGAAACAGAGGCAAACAGATCTCTGTTAGTTCAAGGCCAGTCTGGTCTACAGAGCTAGTCCCAGGACAGCCAGGACTACACAAAGAAACCCTGTCTTGAAAGCCAGATAGATGTTAGGTAGGTAGGTAGGTAGGTAGGTAGATAGATAGATAGATAGATAGATAGATAGATAAATAGATCCAATATATATGTTGAAAATACATATATTTAATAAAAGTTCTTATTGTGATGCTAGAGAGATAGTTCGGAGTTAAGAGCATTCACGGCTCTAGTAGAGGATCCAGGTTCAGCCCAAGTCTGTCCTCATACAACTGCCTGTAACTCCACCCAAGGAATCTGACATGGACACCATCTTGTGGCTTCCTCTGGCACCCGCATACATAGATACACACACACACACACACACACACACACACACAAATAAAACTGAAACTTGTTTTTACAGTTATTTTTATCAGTTACCTCCTCCTTGGTAGCATTCAGTTCAAATATAAATTTACACCTATTTGTGTTTTGATTAATGTGAATCTTCCACACTGATTGATTATAAATTATGGTGCTAGTCACCATCAGTTCTCTAGAACTCAGCACACAGTAGGACTTCAAAACACTTGAAAGAATGTGTATATGGAGAGAAGGTAAAAATATTTTTAAAGTCATACAACTATTTTTTATACTTCTTTCAAAAACTTGACAGGAAGAATTAAGAGTAATGCTAGGGAAATGAAGGAAGCAATACTTGTTCCTATTTTTTTTTTTTTGTCTCCGAAAATCATTCATTAATGGCTACACAACCTGTCTAAATTATAATGGTTAATAGCAGCTTGGTTCCAGCAAAGGGGGGGGGGCTCTTTCCTAAGAAACTATGCTAAAAAATGGACTGCATCCTCTGAGTTTTTCATTTTTTTTTTTTTTTTTTGTCTCCGAAAATCATTCATTAATGGCTACACAACCTGTCTAAATTATAATGGCTAATAGCAGCTTGGTTCCAGCGGGGAGGGGGGGGCTCTTTCCTAAGAAACTATGCTAAAAATGGACTGCATCCTCTGAGTTTTCTATGAAAATTGTCAGTGAGCATCACTTTTCATTAACCCACTCACAAGATGTGAGTTCAAATATGTGTCCTTTCGGAAACTTTGAAATAGGAGCCATTTGGGACTCCTATTGGGAATGCTTTTCTGTAGGAAGCCACAAGGTTTTTCATCCACCCTAGGCTAGGTGGGGGAACTTGTTTTCAGTAGTTAGTACTAATCGGGCCATGCTTGGCTTTATATTTATTTATTTATTAGTAAAAACTCTGAGCCAAAGAAAAAACACCTGAGCTGGCTCAAGTCTGGCAACAGGGAAAACATCTGAGTCGTGCCTGAAGCATAGTAATATGCAGCCCCAAACCCCCACAATAAGTAGCTTACCCTCCTGGCTCAGGGAAGGCAGTGTGGGCAGCACCTGCCTGCACAGGTCCTGAAAGGCCGGGGCAATCCTGTCCAACATCTTCAGGCCTGATTGACTCCGTGGTGGGTCCTTGATGGATAGTCTCTTCTTTGTTATCTGGAGTTTGCACTAAAAGGATTTTCCCAGCCTCCAGCTCTCTTTGCCCGGAATTTGGAATTTGGGATGAGCTTTGAAATCAAATATTGCTGTAAAAGTCTTGAAATGTTTTGATATTATTTTTCCTTAAGTAAACGTTCTTCGTCGCCTTCCCTCTCTCTCTGATCTGGCTCGCAGATAACCTGTTCCCGCAACACGAAGCCAGAGAAGCCAGTGCGCTGTCCCTCGCTAAGCCAGAAGTGCAATTCCACGCCCATCCAAACAAACAGCGAGGACCTCGGGCACATGGAGGGCTGGAGGGTCGCTGAACCAAGAAGGCCTTGCGAAAGAAAGGGCTGAAAGCGTTGCTATGACGCGACAAAGACTAGCTTGGTTGCTAAGGCCTCAAGGCCTGGCCCCCTAAGAGAATCCGGTCTCTAGGAGAGTGCACACAGAGACTTTAGAAAGAATTTTTTTTTTTTTTTTTTAACTTTGTTCTTCTCCTCTTACCCAGGGCAGCGAGGACATGGCCTTGAAGGTAGCTCATATTGCAATCATCCAAAGCGAAAAGAGGTGGAAAGGGGGGCGGGGGAGGGGGGTGGGGAGGGTTGAAGAGGGCAGCGGGTGGGAGCATTTTGCTAACAGGGATGTAGATTAGACTCTATGATCTGATTGAGGATTTGAGTTTAGCTAAAATTTATTTCTTGACTTTTTCTTTTGTTTTGTTTCCAGACTCTCTTAGGAAATGGAGGGCTGGAGAATGAAAGCAGAGTTTATGCTTTTACCACCACCACCACCCCACCCGTCCTCTTTTTTGCCCTTAGAGAGGAGGGAATGGGACAAACCTGCAGATGACCTTGATGTTCTCCCCACTGCTAAGTAAGCACGTGTCAACCCCACCCAGGTCAAGATACAAGGCTGTCAGTACCACAGATGTGCTCTCCCTTCCCCTGCAATCATTATCCCTTAAACTAAATATTAGCTTTGACAGCATTTGAATTTTTGAAGACATGTAATGCATATTTCATCTGGTGCTATCGCATTTTTGTTGTTGTTGTTGTTGTTGACAGTCCTTTATGGTTTCTGTGGTTGCTGTTTGTTCATTTTAACTTGCATAATTCTGTGTGAATAAAGGCCAGTTATTTATATCTGTTCCCCTGTTGAAGAGCATTTGAGTTGTCTCCATTTCTGGACATTAGGAATAACACTACTGCAAGCATTCTCTTACAAGACTTAATCTTTTGCTAATACATACTGATTTGATGTGTATATAACTCATAGTACGTTGGTGGGTCATGGGAAAGGCACGTGATTGGTTTAGACAGTGCCAAGCAAGTTTCCACAGTAGTTGTTATGGAGAGTCGAGAGGAGCTGTTAGCAGGTAATATGGACAGAAATGACTGACCACCTAAAAGGAAAAAGAGTTGTTCCACAGACACCATTTTTAAACATCTCATCTGATGTCCGTTTAAAATCCCAAACCAAAAAAAAAAAGGCTGTTTTGCAGCTTAGTATAAATAGCTGTATTCCAGGCTGCTTTTGTATATGCTGCATTCATAATGATTATCTTACAGATACAAGTTTGTAATAGCACCATTATGCCTCCTAGTGGTCATACTTTGGACACTGTCTTAGTTAAGATTTCTTTTGCTGTGAAGAGACACCATGACCACAGCAACTCTTATAAAGGAAAACATTTAATTTGGGTGACGGCTTACAGGTTCAGAGGTTTAGTCCACTATCATCATGGTGGCATGCACGTACTGGAGAAGTAGCCAAGTATCCTGTCTTGGCTTGCAGGCAACAGGAAGTGGACTGGGCAGTATCATGAGCATAAGAGAACTCAAAGCCCGCCCCCACACTGACACACTTCCTCCAACAAGGTCAGACCTTTGGAGATCATTTTCTTACAACCCACACAGACACACACACATTGAGATACAGTGTTTGTGATAGTAGGTTTTATTGACTTGATGGCACAATGTGGACTCATTTGGAATGAGTCACAATGAGGGATCAGTAGATTAGATTCGCCTGTGGGCCTGCGTGTGAGGATAGTCTTGATTGTGTTGTTATGGGAGCACCCAGCCCACTGTGGAACCATTACATAGGCAGACAATCCTAGACTATGTATGTGTAGAAAGGGGACTGAGCACAAGGTAAACATGCACATATTCATTTTTCTCTACCCTAACTATGGGTGTAACTAGCTGCTTCAAGTACCTGTTATTCTGACTTCCCTGATATGATGGGACTGTAACCTTGAACTATGAGCTGAAATAAACCTCTTTACCCCCTAAGTTGCTTTTTGTAAATCAAGGTACTTTATCACAGCAACAGAAATGAAACTAGAAAAATATTTTACTGTGTACAACTTTTAATATATCTATCATGCTGTGGATATTGCATTCATTTTTAAAGCGTATGGATATGTCAGCTATACCTCCTGGGCATGTACCCAAAGGACTCTTTATCCCACCATAGAGATACTTGCATATCTGTGTTTACTGCTACTCTATTAACAACACCATGGAAATGGAACCATTTGATTTTATGTATGTATGTATGTATGTGTGTGTGTGTATATATATATATATATATTTCTGTTAAGAAAAATGAAATATTCAAGAGAATGGAAGGAACTAGAAAGAATCATATTGAGTGAGGTGATCCAAATGTTGAAATACAAAGATCATATATTGTCTCCCATATGTTATTCCTATCATGTAAATCCTAACTCCAGTGTTTGTATATGTTAAAATATACATATATATTTTATGTGAAATTGAGGACAGGAAGTAGGAAAGGAAAAGCATGTATGGCATGGAAATGGAAAACAGGCAACTGGGGATGGACAAGTACAGGGAGGTGGGGGGGGCAAAAAGAGCAGTGCACTGAGATATTCACTTTGTCCGCACACCTGTAGCACAGGCCACGCCCATTGGGGCCAGCCTCAGCTACATAGCAAGTTCAAGGACAGGGTGGGCTATGCTACATTCCATCTCAAAAGCGACAACAAAAATCCTTTAGGCATATGCCTTTAATCCCAGCTCTCAGGAAGCAGAGACAGGCAGATCTCCTGAGTTTATATGCCAGTCTGGTCCATAAAGGGAAAAAGAAAAAAGAAAAAGAAAGAAAGCTTTAAAGAATCCTTAAAATACTGGGGGTTGTTTATTTTTCTAACCATACTTTATTTTATATATAGCAATATAGTTTACATATTAAATACCACTATGTAGAATGATTTGATATACTTTCAAACATAAAAAAGAAAAATTACTTCATCCAGAGCTACAAAGAGAAACCCTGTCTCAAAAAAAAAAAAAAAAGAAAGAAAGAAAGAAAAGAAAAATTTGCCCAATTTGCCAAATTTGTCCAATACTAAATGGTCAGTCCTGAAAACATATACACAGGTAGCATTATATATGCCTTCATTTTTTGATATTAGACTTTAGTGACATAGTTTCTCCCTTCCCTGCAAACCCTCCCATATACCCCTTCCCTGATGTCTTTCAAATTCATGACCTCTTTTTAATTATTTGTTTTGGATATGTGTGTGTGTACATATTTCTGAACACATAAATGCAACCTCCTCTGTCTGTATAAAATGCTATATAAATGAAGAAAAAGCAGAGGGAGGGAAAGCCAGCCATGATGGCACATGCCTTTAGTCTAAGCACTCAAGAGGCAAAGACAGGGAGATCTCTGTGAGTTCAAGACCAGCCTGGTCTATAGAGAGAGTTCCAGGCCAGCCAGGGTCACATGGCAAAAACCTTGTATCAAATAATAATAATAATAATAATAATAATAATAATAATAAAAACAATCTATGTCAAAGAAGAAATAACATTGTAACCATTCTCCTACACACTCTGCAGGATGGAAATCATACACTGTGCCATGTATAATAAAGGTGATCTTGATTAATAATGAATGTGATAATGACACCCATATATAACACTACCTACTTATAAACAGGATGAAAAATCGATACTTAATCCCTACACAGGACCAGCTCCACTCACATCATCTCCACCTCTCTTGTTTCAAATATGCTACAGTCAGGAACCTGGCATTCGCAGACCTACATGTGAGCTTAAAATCAATATAGATGGGTCTATGTGACTAGATAAGTATAGACATTTCTGAACCCAATTTTTCTTTTACAACAAAGAATGTCATAAAAGAAGTACACACATCTAGATCAAAAGGTAAACAGGACAGGGTTCTGAAGGGTCCTGGAACTTCTGTCCCCATCAGGGAGTTAGAGCATGCCGTCTGTTGCAGCTTAGATGTTAAATGTCCTCAGATAGAAACACTGTCTAATGGGGTGGAGCCTATCTACAGGAAGTGGTCACTAAGGTGGGAGACAGAACTTGAAGTCTGTAGCTTGATCCAGCATTCTCTCCTATGAACTTCCTGTTCCTCTACCCTGAGGCTGAGTGCGCAGTTCACACAGCTGATGGCACAGTTAATAGCCATACCTGCTGGCACCTCCCCAACACCTCGGACTATACCAGTACACTAGGAACCAAAATCAACCTTTCCTCCTGATTGCTTCCTGTCAGACACAGGACACAGGTGGTGAGAAAACCGGTTCATACCTCATTGGTCTGACATGCAAATGAGTTAGTTTACTTACCAACCCGAGGGCTTCTTGCATCTCCTCCTCTAGGAGTATCATGGACATTTCAATTCATAAGTATGATTATTAGTCATTGGTGATTAACTCAGGTTCTACTCCTTATCAACAACCTCAATACTTTGACTCACTGGTGAACTACTAGTTAGATGAGTGATTAGGAGATGGGGCCAGGTCAGAAGAAACAAGCTATGATGGATGTGCCTCCAAAGGGTTATTTCCTCTCCAGGTTCCTCCTCTTCACCTCCCTCCTTCCTGGCATCTATGAAGAGGACATTTTTGCTCTGTCATATACTTGGACTAAGATGAATGCCTTATCTCAGGCCCAAAGCAACAGAACCAAGTGTCTATGGGTGAAAACTATGAACTATGGTAGACATTTTCATCTTTAAATTATTGTTCTAAGTGATTTTATTACAGCAACAGAAAGCTGACTAACA